CGCCCCTCCCCGCAGCTGATTGGCTCGAACGCGGCCGCTCAGCGCCTCACCAGCAGGTTACTTCGGCCGCCTCGGCGCGTGGAGGGGAGTGGAAGGGACCGCCTCCCTTCCGGTCCGGCTCCACTACACTTCCGTCGAGGGGTAGGGACTGCCTACTCGGAGTCCGGTATCCAGCCCCCAGGGCCCGCCTCTCCCGACCCAAGCACAGACTCCAGGCTTAAGAGAGCAGCTTCTCTTTATTGTCGTTTGGGAAAAGGCGAGGGGGCCGGAGGGACAGGGACAGCCAGCCCCAGCCTCCCCCCACCGGGGCTGGGCCCCGGGATGAGGGTCAGTAGGGGGTGGGGAGAGTCTTTAAATAGAAGAGGGAGGGGGCTGAAGGGGGTGAATGCGGCCGCGCTCTAGCGCACCATATACTCCTTGCGCTTATTGAGCCGAACTTGGCAGAAGGAGAAGCCTCCGAGGAGGAGGTAAAGGCCCGCAGCGATGAAGCAGTTGTAGCTGACTTGCTCGTAAAGATCGTATATGTTCTGGGGGCCATTCCTAGGGGAGGGGATTAGGCAGAGAAGTGTCAGAAACAGTAACAAGAGCCAACACTCACAGAGCACTGACCATGTGCTAGGACGGGTTCTACGTGCCTTCACGTGCATTATCTTAACTCATTCTTCTTCACCCTATGGGGTGAGTTCTAGTACAGCATCCATTTGCAGAGGGGGGCGGAAGCACAGGAAAGTCAGGTAAAATACGTCAAGAAGCCACAACTAAAGTGGCGGGTTTAGGATGGCTGCCGAGGCCTGACTCCCGAGACCAATGCAAAGTGTACGCTAAAGAGAGCAGTTCTCTGCCCTAACCGGTTTGGCTCAGTGGATAGAGCGTCGGCCTGCGGACTGAAGGGTCCTAGGTTCGATTCCGGTCAAGGGCATGTACCTTGGTTGTGGGCACATCCCCAGTAGGGAGTGTGCCGGAGGCAGCTGATCGATGTTTTTCTCTCATCCATGTTTCTAACTCTCTATCCCTCTCCCTTCCTCTCTGTAAAAAATCTATTTAAAAAAATAAAGAGAGCAGTTCTCCGCACCCGTTTTTTTCACAGGCTCCGCCCCCTCCCCTCCCCCAGCCTCTCCCACGCGATACTTACTCAAAATCTTTCTCCGTGAAGGGAACGTCCTCAATGAGCACGGCCGAATGGACGTTAAAAAAGATCCCGAGCATTATCTGAAACGGAACGGGTAGGTTTTGACCTCAGGCATCTGCGCTGGTCACTCCCTAAACCCCTTCCACGTCTCATGTTGCCACAACATCTGGGTTTGGCAATGAACAGAATGCGCTGGGAATGGAGGCAGCTGTTGCCAGAGTCGCACTCAGTCGCCTGGAACAGGGCATGAGGTGGTGACAGAGACGCCTGGGCTGGGGACAGGGCAGAAACAGTGAGCAACCCAGGAACCCGGGTCATTCCCCTCTTCAGAGGCGTCATTATCACGGGACAGGGCAGAAGGGATCCGGGGGGATCGGCAGGTGTTACTTCCTCCTGGAGTGGGGCGGGCAGAGTCCTGGGCAAACAAGGCCCCAGCTACACATTTCGGGAGCGAAATTCGGTTTAGGCATCTCTCAGGAGCCCAGCGCTTCCTCCTTTTACCAGATTTACCAGCCCGGGCTCCCACCCCAACCTCCAGCTCCCTCCTCCACCGCCCGCCCACTCTAGTTCCCTATTTCTCAAGCTCAGTTCTGTCCTGTTCTCCAAAGACGACCCCCCCCACACACACACACACCCCACCCCGCCTGCTGCTGCTTTCTAAGGCCTGGAGCCTCGCAGCCTCCCAACGCCCCCACACCCGGCCCCCAGGTCCTCTCCAGTCCTCGCAGGCCGGCCCCTCACCAACATGATCACTCCCCAGGCGCTGAGGACGATGCCGCAGGCGGCCAGCTTGGGCCCACAGCACAGAAGCGACACCATGAAGACAGAAGTCGGGGGTCGCCGAGATCGGGGCCGAGCGGAGCGGCGGTGAAAGGAATGCCCGAGGCGCCGGAGCGGTGAGAGCCGGCTGGACTC